GAAGCCGCCACCAGCGCCGTGTTGACACAAGGCCAAGACCGGCTCCAGCCGCTCGTGCTCGGCGCGCGGGATTCCCATTGCGCCCCCGCGCGGCCGGAGGGTGAAGAGCAGCTCCGCGCGGAGGACTTGGTCCCTCCAAGTCAAGTGCAGGTTCCAAAGTTAAGGCAAACCCAGCGGACTTTGTTTTTCTTATTTTACGTGCCCAGAACTCTGCTAGGTGCTTTGCGATATTCCAAAATGTATAAGACTCAGACTTTGCTCTGAGAGAAGAACATGTAATCTAGTTGGGGAAAAGAGCTATGGTCCCAAATGGCAAGCGGTTGTATTCCAAAATTTTGCTTTTTAGCAGCTAGAAGCACACTTCCCATCTCAACAATGTGGGGTCAGGTGCCAAGGCCAACCCACCGTAGCCTATTCATTATAGTAATCACATGCCTTGGAAACCCTAAGATAGCCCTGATATCAAATATGTAATCCAGTGCACATGCTGCATGTGAAATGATGCGTGTGGAATTTTGCAACCATATTTGCCTAATTTGTGCCACATTGTCTCTGCAGAGACTTGCAATGAACTTCCACTTCCAATGATAGACATGAAATGCTTCCCCTGAGAACTAAACTCTATTTCACATGACCAAGTCCTTCTTGGCATGCAGGGCTCGGGTCAGACTTCACCTCTTCAGAGAGACATTCCCTATATCTTCCTCCATCCCAATCCTCAGTCTAGTTATCTTCCTCCAAACATTGTTCATAGCATTTATCACAATCCAAAATCACCTCATTTTTTTTTCATTTGTTTATATGGTAATTCAGTAAAATGTCTCTCCCTCCTTGGTACTTCTATTTGCTCATAGAAGTGCTCATAAATATTTTTGGGTGATTTAATAGCAAATCAGAGAGCAAGGCTAGGAAAAGTCACCTCCAAGAGAAGGCATGATGTCCAGGGCAACCACTTTGACAGATTGATTGAATCATTGATCTATTTAAAGAAGGGGCCATATGGAGGAAACTAATCAGCCATTGAGATATATCCAGGGTTTGATCTACTCTCTCTGGCCAACAAAAACTTACTGCAGATACAGAAAATAATGTATGAAGATTGTGGAGATAGACATATCAGGACATAGAATACTGAGATCATAAGCGATCCAGGTATAGAACTCACACTCCATTTCATTTCTACGTCCACCAGGCAACCTTATGCTGATGCAGGTCCCTGTGTATTGGGAGACAACAGGCAGGTCAGGCTGATGCAACTATCCAGCCCACCCTTGGAAATTATTAAACTGATACTCCGGCTTATCCATCAGTCAGTCTCTTGAGAGTCAGCATGATTCAGCATCCCTGACTCTGAGCCTGGAACTCTGGAAGAATATTTAGATCAAATTTCCAGTGTGCAAGGGGGGAAGCACCAGGCACTATTTTGCAGTGTCATGGGCTTTTGGAGATGGTAGCGCAGGGAGTTAGAAAGTGGGGCCAAGGAGTGAGACCAGCACCCCCACTTACTTACATGTGGACTTTGGGCAAGTCATTAACTTCTTGGCACCTCCAATTCCTCATTATTAGTGGGAAATAACAGCATGCATCTGAGAGCTGTTGTGCAGACTAAATGAGTTAGTTCAAGTCAGATGCTTACAGTGCAACCTGTCATAGTAAGAGCTCAAGATGCGCTCGCGATTGCTATTATGTGTGTCCTGGCTCCTTCACTCACCAAGTGGTGTGGTTCATGCTCACTCTGCCTCAGTGTCTTCTCCCTGAGGATATGAAAACCATATCCAAGGGTTTTTAATGGGGTTAAAATAAATGACATTGTGTAAGTAAAATGCTTATGTAGCTGAAGGCCTGGTATAGAGTAAGCACTCAATAACAGGCAACTTCTCATTTTGGTTTGTCTTTGCTTTGTCAAGGTGCTAGAATTCACCAAGATAAATGTCTCCTTGCTGACTCTGAGAAGCCACCCATTTGTCCTTTCCCAATGACACACAGATCTTGACACATGCCTTTAAATAAACTTTTTTTTAGGAGTTCAAGCGGCAGTGGCAAGATTTATTAAAGTGAAAGTACACTCTCAGGAGGAGAGCGAGAGTGGGCAGGCTCAAAGAGCAACTGTCAAATAAACTTTAAAATTAGGTTCACAATTATTCCCATTGGTGGTAATGTTATCAGAGAAATCAATATACTCATATCCTGTCATCTATAGAATGATTGAAACATGCAGAGGCTCTGACCAGGTAGCTCACTGGTTAGAGTGCCCTCCTGCTACCCCAAGGTTGTGGGTTTGATCCCTGATGAGGGCACATACAAGAATCAACCAATGAATGGATAAATAAGTGGAACAACAAATCGATGTTTTTCTCTAGAAATCAATAAATACATAAGAAACACACACCCAGAGCTGAATGTGACCTTGAATATCTCACTCACACCCCCATTTTTAGTGACAGTATTCTTTGAATCACAAATAATATAGTTTAAAATGCTTTAAAATATTTACCTTGACCTTTAAATTTTCTATTGCAAGTGTGATTTATAGTATATGTATTAGCACATATATGTCCAAACATTTCTTATCCAAGAAAGTTTACAGGCCACAGCTTTATCCCACTTAGTAGAGACCCTTTCTATTCTGTTCCCCTTACTATCCTAGTCTCTAGGTGGCAGGGACCATATCCTTTGTGTACCTTCTCTCTAAAACAAACAAAAACAGTGCTGGGGAGCATGCTCACTAGGCTGGAGGTCAGTGAGAATCCTAGCAGAACACGCTTGGCTCAAGCTGCACCACCCTGCTGTGTACGTGTGCAGCAGACATCTGATAATTTTGTCAGCTTAGCACTTCTCCATTCCTCTGGGCCTGTCACCTCATTCCCTTTGGGGACTTCTCCAGTTCTGGAAGGACATATAAGAAGCTTAGTAGCCTGGCCAGGTGGCTCAGTTGTTTGGAGCGTCATCCTGTACATCAGAGGGTTGTGGGTTCGATCCCTGGTCAGCGCAGGTACAGGAGGCAACCAGTTGATGTTTCTCATCCTCTCTCTCAAAAAAAAAGAAAAGAAAAGAAAGAAGAAAGAAATGAAAACATCTTTGGGTGAAGATATTTTTAAAAAGCTCTTGCCCAGCCAGTGTGGTTATGGTTGAGCATTGACCTATGAACCAGGAGGTCACAGTTCCATTCCTGGTCAGGGCACATGTCCAGGTTGTGGGCCCCAACCCTAGTGAGGGGCATGCAGGAAGCAGCCAATCAATGATTCTCTCTCATCTTTCATGTTTCTAGCTCTCTCTCCCTTCTCTGAAATCAATAAAAAAATATTAAAAAAAAAAAAAAAAAGCTCTTAGCTGTGGATGCTTTTCAACAGGGGATCAGGCAGGAAAATGATTGATGTTTCTCTCTCCCTTCTGCTCTCTAAAAAGCAATAAAAATATATGCTCGAGTGAGGATTGTCTTTTTTTTAATCACTTGAATTTTTACTGTGCACATTAATTTTTAAATTAAAAGTTAATTTTAATTAACACACTATCAGATGGAGAATAAAAATCCACCCAAAGCAGGCCCTTCAGAAAGTGGACGGCAGGGTCCCCACGCGGGACCCTTGCTGCCTGGGAGAGGTCCATTTTGAGTGGCATCACCTTGGATCAGCGTGGGGGCAGGGCTCACTATAGGACTCTCCTGGGGCCAGCGTTGGAGGCTGGGGTGACTCCTAGCTGAGGGGCTCTTGGTGCCCTGGGATCTACCAGACTAGGATGAAGGAACCAGATACTAACTTTCTGCCCTCTAATTTAGTCATGAAACCTCTTTGGGAATCAGCTCCTTGAGGGCAAAATATACACTTGCGTATATTGATCACTCAATAGTGATCTCTCCCTATCTTTATACTCTTAACAGCCAAAAAAAAAAAAAAAAAAAAAAAAAGTCTTATTTCCAATTAGATTATGAAAAGCTTGATTTTCTGCATATGCCTTTGAAAAGCACAACACTGCTCCCTCCCCACAAAAAAACGTTTTAGAGGGTCCCTTCTGCTCTAATAAAACTCCACTGAATTTGTCTGCTTAATTTCTCAACTAGTTTTAAGATTTGCCTCCTTCAAAAAGAATGAAGGAGAAAAATCCCAGTTAGTTGGGTTCCAGTCGCATGGAGGCTTTCCTGTCCGAAGCCACAATGCAGAACCCTCGGCCCTGTGAACATGCAGTCTGCAATCTGGACACCTTTTATTTAATTTCAAGAATTCCCTTTGCATGGCAAACAGGGGTCTGAGGAAAGCCAAGCGGTGCGGGTGAGGGAGGAAGCAGAGCGCTCACAAATGTGGTGCCAGGTGCAGGCTGCCCACTGTGCTCCCGGATGGGAGAGAAGCGGGGTGGATGGGCGGAGCAGGAAAAGTCATTCTCAACACAAACAAGGGTCCTGGGGCACGCCACCCCACCCCAGTGCCTGGCCATGCAAGACGCAGAAATGGAGACGGTGGCCCCTCAGGACCATGGAGCATTGCACCAACACAAGGGAGTCCTCTGGGCGCCTCCTGAGGCGCCTGCAGGGTCTGGAGCAGAGGAGGTCTGTGTCCACGTCCATGTCCGTGAGCATGGTGAGTTAACAGATAGCACCGGTTGGGAGGCTCAGGGCAGGAGAGAGACTGAGGCTCTCCGCCTCTAGCACCCACTGCCTGGCCCTCCTGGGAAGAGATTCACTTCCTCGATGGCGGCCCCTGCAGCATGAGCCTTGCTCTCACCCTTTGGCTCTGGGGAAACTGGAATAAATCATCAGGGTGAGCTCTGACCCAGGGCACCAGCTGCCTCTGGAGGGCCGGGTCACTACTGTGTAGTAACAAGATGGGTTGCACCAGGTTGAGGGACTAGAGGTGGGAGGGACGGGCTGGGGGATGGGCCCTGGGCCCCAAAAGTGCCCACATAGGAAGAGTCTTTCGGAAGCACAACCTGAGGCATTCTGTCACCCATCTGTTCCCCATCCCCAGTAACCCCACGAATTGTCCCCGGTGGCTTCTGATTACTTTTGGTGGGTCAGGGGCAAGGGAGAGAGACCAGGAGAGGCAAGGCCAGAGAGGTCTGTCTCTCAAACACGGAGGTAGGCAGTGTGTGTGGTGGGGACACTGCGCTGGGTCAGGAGCCCTGGTCCCAGCTCTGCCGCTCTTCTGTAATCTGGGCTAAACCATCTGGCCTGCACCTCCTTTCCTTGGTTACCGAGTCAGGCAAACCCTACCCCCACCTACCACAGAGGGATAGGCTAAGGGTGAAAATAGATAACGGATAGAAAACACGTTTAAAAAAGTATAAAGCGCTATTCAAACGCGAGGCAGTGTTGTCGTCATGGAGGTGGCATCCCTTAGCACATCCCTCAGCTCAGTCACACCTTTGCTTCCTCTTGCAGCGTCTCAGCCTTGGGACCCGATTTCCTGATCTCGGGCTTCCGAGACTCCCTGGTTGCTTCCCTTGATCACAACCTGTGACCCCAGTGGCCGAATGGGCACTCCAGGTGTCTGCGGGCGGGCGGGAAGCCTCTGGCCTCCTCACTGTCCCTCCCGCACCTTCCCTGCGGGAAGCCGCTCAGCCGGCCCCTTGATCCACCTAGGAGATGAGCTGGGCCGTCCATCCAGGCTGGACAGGTCTAGGGGACCCCTGTCCAACTCTTGGGGACCCTGTTTAGAGTGTAATTCCTGTTCCCGATTTCCAGCGGGTGGCAGGTGGAGGGAGGGAAGGCGCACTGGGAGCCGCAGCAGGATCGAGGGTCGTCAGGCCGCCCCCAGGCCCTCCGCACCCCTGCGCCTGCCGCTGGCTCTCCCTCCCCCAGCCCAGCCCCAGTCTCGGT